ATAGAATAATGATAATAATGGTTTAAGGGATTAAAACTTACATTTAAAATTTTCATATGTACATACGATTATGCAGCTTGATAATAAATTCGTTGAAAAAAAGATCCATTCACTGAATTTCATGTTTTTTAATACACGGTGTTCCAGTCTGGTTAAAGTTGGTCAAACGTTATCCGTTGACGCCGAGTGGGGACAGTTCCCGTTTCTCAAGGCTCACAAATTCACCGTGTGAATGTAATCTTATGGAGACCAGCTTCGGTTTGGGCACCCGGGGAGTATCACAGCCCTCACACCATATCAAATGAGATTTATGTGGCACATATGTATTTAGTGCCTCCTTGTACCAATATCTATGTGATCAAATAAATAAATAATTTTATGTAAGAGTCGATATCCTGGGTCTTGACACACGGTCAGCGCACCAGGGGCAAGTATGGTCTATGCGCATACTGGTAACAAGTTTTCACCGATGCATCCTTTAGCATACACAGTTATATTTACCCACCTGGAAGTGTAGATGGTCACCACTTCATTTGAATGCATTCGCTTCAACTGACTATCACTTACTCATTACATGCATACCACTGGTACAAAGACTTTCGCCCTTAAACCGAATGACAGACATATAATCATAAGCACTGTTTCAGGGAGGGTTTACGGTCATCTGATTTTTTATTAGCTACCATGTTTTTGATTATGTATTTGACCTGAATAATTAGGCCTCTGATTTTATTAGACATATGGGAGACATTTTTTTTCAGCTTACCATTTCTTGCGGTAACAAATGCTCGTACCCTTTGCATATATCTACACTCATAAACTTTACAAGCCGAAACTCATTTAATTCTGATACATAAGCATTCATATCGGAGAGCCTGTAAGGTTTTAGTAAACCCCGAGATTTGAACCTGATTAGTCCGATTTACAGGAGTGAAATGGATTAGTTCGATCTCCGCTGACCATCCATATTAGCTAACAGGATTGCTCTCACTACATAGTAGCACCAAGTTTAGGCTTTGTAGTCGGATTTCGCTGTCATTATTATCACTTTCTCTTGTTGAATGATTACCATGTTTCACTTTAAACCGTAACTTGGTCACTATCGATCAGTGTTTTTTTCTTTTCTAGCTGACCTTTAAATTCACTTCATTTTTAGAATTGATCAGATGATCCATTATTATTATTGTTACACTTCATGTTGAGTGTTTTATCTATTTTCCAAGTATATTTGTGTTGCGTGTGTAGGTTATGAGTTGTTTATTGTATACATTAATCTCAGTACTGTTGAATAGATTTCCATGATCAAGAGAGAAAAAAACAATAGATTTTACAAATGTAATGTCATTATATACTAATTTATTTATTATTAATAAGTACACATTAGTGTGATTGGCTATGACCTCTAATTTAAGTAGGATTACTAGTAGTAAGTTATCGGTCGTTTAAATTGAAGTAGATGAAGCGAGACTTTTCCCTAAATGCCCTGGTACGGACGAGGGTGAGAAGAGTCAACTCTCCCTCTGCAAATGCTCTCACATGGCCACGAGTATACAGCCACTGTTAGGGAAGTTCTACTCATTGCCCTCTCGCGCCACCGGCGTTGTTTACGAAATTGAGAGGACGAAAATCGAATGTCCTATGCTTTAACCCGGTTGGTGGATATGGAGGATCCATGTAAGGGAGTTGGAAAACCCTGATTTCAGACTAATAGTGCACATAGGTTCCAGCATCCTGGTCACCGGTTACCACAGGACTGCATCTCCTGACGTTGTTACACTGCCGTTTGGATCAGACTTTTAGGCCGAAGGCTCTGGATGTGGCTCCCTAAGTAAACCACCTGCTCCGTTTTGGGCACCCGGGCAGTATCATAGCCCACACACAGAACAAGTGACTTGTATGGTGCATATGTATTCGGGGCCCCTTTGTACTAATATTTATATGTTCAAATAAATAAAATAAATAACAGTTACACTATGATGTTCAGATTCATATACTAAATGAAGCAACAACAAAAAATGATCAAAAAGTGGCTTCATATAATAACATTTATTGTATATTCAAGATAATGTGAATAATCATAGTTCCTCCATCAAAATTATCCATAGAATCTTGTGTTTGTGTTAATTTCTCATAAAAAGCCAACAATCGATTTTAATCGGGTCGTATATTGTGAAACTCATGAATCGGCGAGACTATAATTTATGGACGTATCAATCAGATTAATGATAACAGGTTTTGTATTTTGGCGCGAAATTCATTTACATCCATTTGGCTAAATAGCATTTTGGCATTTTAGTTGAATTTAGCTCGTGATGAAACCTCTAAGTCTAATTCCTAACCCTAACCATCAACTGTAAATCATAATCTTTATTCTTCACACAGGTTTATAACACTCAATTAACCCTAGTACGTTGGTGGACGTTTTCTATGTCACTTTAGCGTCGCTTGAAAGTCGTCCATAAATTATAGTTCCACTCATTAATCTTGTCTTTGAATATCCACGTTATATAATAATCAATATTGTGTTTTTTCTACTCTGAAAATCAATTACATACAGGTTGATGCAATTGCCAATCCAGAATTGACCAAAACTACTGTCTCCAATTCTTATTGTTTAGATTTTGATACGATTGAGACAAATTGGGAAACATTGAAAAATGAATATACAAGTATAAACAGTACTGATATAACCAACGCTTTGATGACATGCGGTTATGATGAAAAACAAGCGATGAATTTTATGATGAAATCGTATTCTAATAATAATGGTAATACAATTGATAGCAGTCTACTATTAGAGCATGGAGAAAATGAAGCGAATGAGCAAAAGGCTATAATTTTCATAAATAATTTGTTTAAATTCCGTTCAACTATTCAATATCAAACTGGTCGAAACGTTTAATAATAATTGTTGTCATTGTAGTATTCTTTCTCCAAAAAAAAGAGAACAAATTTTGACTTAAAATGGTGTAATGTCTAACATTTTCTTCATATTTGAGAAACGCACATTATTAGCATAATCCATTTTATTTGCTTTATCAACACGGTGATAATTCACGCTTCCTACATCTACATGATGTGATTACAATTAACTTGGTATTTATGTATCTGTGTGTTAGGGGCGCCAGGGTGATTAATTCGAATTTCGCTATATTTAATAGGCTTGTATTGGTAGTTGTTTTTTTTATTCCTTATCTTTGTACTAAACCTATTTGCTGTTCTTGTCTTTTCGTTTATGTTTGTACATATGTTCATGTGTACTAATGTACCGTTGATGAATATATAAATTCGATAGGCAAATATATGCATACATTTGACAATAAATGATAGTTTTTTCTTTCTTTCTGGATATCGGTTGTTATATTTTTCTAGAATGAAGAAACAACCTTTTTTGTCACTGAGGTGATTTGATATAGGATCATTAGACTGTATACTAGAAATTAGACTGGTCACTAACTCGATCGATAATCCAGATAGTATGTCACGATACTAGACCAATGTTATACGCAGATTTAGTTCTAAACTACCCAACTCACGACTAAGAATAAAATATAAGCAAAAACAAAAAAAATAAGCAGCCAACCCAGTGAACTCTCAGTGGAATCGCCTAGACTATAATTTGTGAACGAACCAATGAAATCAAGAACAGTAAGTCTTGTGGTTTGGCGCGAAGTTTATCCATTCATATAGTTAAATACCATTTTGGCATTGGAGCTGATGTTCTAAGTACTTAAAACACTATAATTAAAACATTATGGACGATTGACACACTATGATTAATTATACATCGTTAAAAAGTAATATTCTTATTGAGAAACTGAAAAATGAAACGGGTCTATTGTTGATGGCCACAGCGACCTTAGATCTCAAGGAGAAACTACTTCAGACTAATTACATATTGTTCTTTCATGCATATCCTGTTTCAGATTTCGTTATCTTAATTCTAAACCTTTTGAACCTTACTATGGGCAATAAAAATCAGTGAAATACAAATGTGTATATGTAGGTGTGCGTCATTTCCCCTTTTCTCTATCGGAAAAAATTTTTAGTGAAGACCGTGAACACATGTTTAAAATCCCAATTAATTCAATATTACAACTCTCTGCTGTAAAATTTGACAATTTCACTCATACTGTAAACTAAAATCATCTACTCGGAATATGATGAGTTTCTTTGAATGTATATATATAACCAATATAGCTAGCTAGAATTGTTACAATGTAGATTAGGATACAAGTACTATCTAAAGATCAATCAAATATTCAATATTCAACTTTATTGAAAATGTATACAATTTGACACTGTTCGCCGAATAATTCCTTCTTCAACAACAAAAATCACCATAAAGTAACTTACCATTACACAAACATCAATGTCATTTACAAGAATAAGAAATAAATTTTCTTAAAAGGCAAAAAACTATTTGTGCAATTAATAAAAAAGATTGGTTAAGTATTACGGATAATAATGATAATAGTAATGAAAGTATAATGAGAAACCTTAATGAAGAAAGGATACTTTGAGTACTTCTTGTTCTAGAAAAACGATTTTCTATATATATGAAAGTAATTTTGTCTAAATATATCGGTATATTTGTATCTGATATGTATGTCTGTGTGAAAGTGTACTTGAATGTATGTATGAAAGTGAATTTGTGCGTAATTTGGATAAGTGTATTAGTGTGCACATATATCTATGCATATACGTACACGTATGTGTGTGTGTGAGTGCGTATATATTCATATATGTATGTATCACCGAGACACAAACACAAAATAATAATAATCTCAAATTAAAATAAAGAAAAACAGTGCATACTACTTTTAGAAATTCTTTTTTTTGTACAAGTTATGTAAACACTGGGCCCTTCTTTGTCAAGAAACCAAGATACAAAGAAGCACACCCACACATCATTTTTTTCTATTTAAAAAAAAAGAAAAAAAAGGGGGGGACAAAAATCAAACTACACAGGTAAGTAAATAATAAGTAAGTAAATAATCTGTGTTTTTCATTATAGAAACAATAAACAAATGATGAGATCTGAACAACAAGAAAGTAATAGAGAGAAAAGAAACAAACTCTAAAAATCGAACAGCACCGAAAAGTAAATGAACACACACACAACAACAACACTGGAATGGAATAAAAGTTTCTTCAATAAAAATGATACAAATAGTAGGTTGAAGTAAAGAACACTTATCTATACATACAAACAATCACACATACACAATCTTATTTATCTATCGGGATCAGGACAAAATTGATTATGGTATACTTTGTAATTTCTCTTTTAATTCAATATTCTCTGTCATTAATTGTTCACACATGAATTTCAATCGATTAACTGTTTGTAAATTCACACTGGATAATGATGTTGACGCTGATGTCAGTGTTGATGAGTCCGATGTTGAAGTGAGATTTCTCAAGAATGGAAACCATGTCGTTGAATTAGGGAAATTTGATGAAGATGGAGTAGTTGCAGATGTATACGGTGAAATACTTGACGGAACTGATCGATACTGACTTGAGGATACTGCTGAAGTTGGTATTGAAGTAGTAGTAGTAGTAGCAGTGACAGTGTCATTGTTACCATGATAAATTAATGGAGACTGAAGGTAATTATCTAATCCCTTTTGTATAACTTTGCTTTTAGCCATTAAATCTGCTTCCAAACGTTTTTTACATCTTCGAAGAGTACAATTTTCTTCTTGGACTTCTGACATTCGATCGATTATAGCCTGGTAAAAATTATTATTATATATAAATTTATGATTAAAGACTATATAAATGGTAAGATGATGCTACTGATAGACTTTAAAATATACAAGTCTATTCTACATATTCCGGTTATCATTTGCCTCAACAAGTAATTACGGCATTAAAATATCTTTAATACGATCTCTTACAAAAATATGTACCGATTTGTTTGAAAATATTCATCTTCAAAGTCTCTAAAAACTCAGAAACGCCGGTAAACATTTTATTCAATTAAAAATAGAAAAGAAGCTCAGCAGAAACATCCAGAATCATGATGCCACAGTTTTGATAAGATATTTACCTGTATACTGCTACAGACATTTTCAGAAGTCTAAGGTCGTGTTCAACTCTATAGGTACCCTTGTCTTTTTTGTACGGAAACTAACTTTTAAATAAAGGTTTTCTTCTCAATACATGCCTCTTCTTTATTGTTCTAATTGACGTTTAGAAGTAGTTGAGATTATGGTATGCGCTTTGCACCTTCGAAGTGCAAAGTACTTGTTATTCGAAGCGAGGAAAGTAGTTTCCATAGATATAGAGAGTTCCCTGGTAGAGGCTATATATGCGTGGCCATGTGAGAGTATTTCGAGATGGAGAGCGGACTCTCCCCACTCTCGACCGTACCAGGGCATTTGAAGGCTATGTTATGTGCTTTGCACCTTCGAAGTGCAAAGTACTTCTACAAGACTGGCAGGATCCTAATCCTGTACTCACCCTGGATGGTGAGCAGATAGAAGTAGTCGAGAAGTTCGTGTATCTAGGTAGCTGCATAAGTGCTGGTGGGGGTGTAAGTGATGAGATCAGTGCACGTATAGTGAAAGCCAGAGCAGCTTATGCCAATCTGGGCCACCTTTGCTGTCTCCAAAGGATTGCTGACATTCAGTGGCAACACCATGTCAGTAATGCAGAGGTTCGGGTACAGAGATGATGATGCAATCGATGTCACCATCTTGAAGCATCGACTTCGGTGGCTCGGACATGTCCTACGAATGTCGTCCCAGAGAATTCAATGTCGTGCATTATTTGCCGACGCTGGGACTGGTTGGATAAAGCGGAGAGGTTGTCAGTACATGACATGGTGTCGTGGTATGAAAGAAAGCTGCAAAGGACTGGTTTGTGTTGGTCCATCACGACTCCCTGGCTGGAGTCCTAGAGATGGTGCAACACAGTGGCTAGAGACGTTATCAGATATGGCTCAGAATAGAAATCAGTGGCGATCCTGCTGTGACCTTCTTTTACTTTCTTCATAAAAAGTGGTTTTGTTTTCCTTAACTGAAAGATTTCTTCTGGTTGTACCTTTCCGTTCCCTCATTATTACTATATTATTACTACACTACCTTACACCAACCTCCTCGTTATTGTTCTTTTTTTTACGCTGCTTAACTTTTTTTCTTTCTCTTCGAATTCCCATTGTTTTGTGTGGAGCATATATATTGGCGCTCTACTGTACCAATATTTATGTGTGCAAATAAATAAATAAATAAAGAAGTTGAGATTATAGGGACCGGCTAGGAAGGTAGCTTATTATAATTCGAAGTACCACACTCAGTCAGTCAGTCAGTCAGACTGACTGAACAACAACAGGAACTTCACAATTAATACATCAAGACCGAAGAAAGCAAAAACACTTATAAAAGATTATAATGTATGTAATTTATTTTATTAAAGAAAACCAAAAACCGATGATCGATAAAAATTACGTAACCAATTGTTAGGTTATAAAGTCGCACACCATTAGTGAATATGACAATTTAGTAAATCCACTTGGTACTTTTAACCTCAATCAAATTGTAATCATAACACATAATCAATCAACTGACATTGTACTCATTATTTTCTTGATCAAAACAGAGTTTATGGTGAGGAAGTCGCAACGACCCAAAATACCCCGACCTAAAAAAACATTAGCATGATCAACTTTGTTTTGAATTGTTACCTCAACAAACAAACGAAACAATACATGATTAAGATTAGACATTAACACCGCTGGATGCCAGCCGGTCCAGTGACCTAGAGGTTATGTGGTCGCGCATGTGACCGAAGGTCCTGGATTAAACTATCACATGAACATTGCTGAGCAGTTCCATACCAGGACGAAACAACCGTCCAGTGCTTCAAGGTTTTTAATGATAGTTTGACTTTGATCAGTTCATGATTTCAACGAAACTCAACTAACTCCACAACCCTACACTGAAAAAAACGGCGTCAGGAGATGCAGTCCCATGACCAATAATTGGTTCATACGCCACTTCTTCCCCCAGGATCCTGGAGCCCATGTACACCATTGGCTTGAAATCAGAGTTTCCCAACTCCCCTAAATGGATCCTCTATATCCACCGACTCGGTTAAAGCGTCGGACATTCGCTTTTCATCTTCTCAATTTCGTAAACAACACCAGTGGGGCGAGAAGGCAGTGAATAGAAGTTCCCTGAAAGTGGCTGTATACGCGTTGTAGTGAACAGAACACGAGTGGGGACAACTGAATGTATTTAGCACCAAATTACAGAGTTACTTGGTAAAATAGAAAAAACATATAGTAAATCGTTAATTTGCAAAATATCATTCCATCATATCAAACCGGACTGTTGTCGTTGCAAACATCAATCTATTGTCTCACATTTCATTGTTCATGCGGTCTCTTACAAATTCCATTGTGTTCTCGCTCTTCCTTTCTTGAGTTTTGAACTCGCGTTATATACTACTTATATCAATATAAGTAGCACGCACCACAGCGTGGCCATTTGTGAAAGCATTTCAAGAGGAAGAGCTAACTCTCAGCCTTACCAGGGCATATGTAGGAGAGTCCTCTAAACATTGCATGTCAGATTGACCAAAATGAGCAGGGTGACACTAGAGTGAAACAACTGTGGAAAGCTCCTGAATTCTCCACCTGTAATCAGTTTGTTACGTAGAATGTTTTCTTGTTAGAAAAAAAAAGATGAGAAGAATACAAAAGAGTAGATTCTATTTTTACTTACTTTAAAGTCAGCTGTTGAAAAAAATCCTGGAGGCATTTCATGAAAACTAGTATTTTTCGACATAGATACATTTGATAATTTATTATTCATCATCATTGAATCATTCATCATTTCATTAGATATTCCATCAGATGTTGAATTTCCTAAGATTATATTACTACTAGTTAATGAAGATGATGATGAATGTAATGAATTCTTTCTTAATTGTTGTATAGATATATCAATATCACCATTATGTTGATTACGTATAAATCGACTTAATTGACGTCTTAATTCATGATTCAATTTTTCACTACGACGTTTTATCACATCTATTTGATTACGTAATTCACTTTCAATAATATTCAATTCATGACATTTCTCTTGAGATTTATTTAATTTTATTAAAAGAGATTTATTTTCTTGAGTTAATTTTTTAATGGTTTGTTGAGCATTGAATACATCGAATGATAATTGATTTTCAATGGTATCAACTTGATTATTCAATTGTTCAATGGTTTGTTTTAATTGATCATGAGTGTAATTAGCTTGTTTTAATGAATTTGTAAGATTTTCTATATCATTCATTAAAAATGCGGGAATTTGATTCAATTCACAATTTGGATCATTACTCGTTTGAATTGATTGATGTTGTAAGTTAATGATCATTGTTTGACAAAAATCATCTTGTCGACTACTACTACTACTATTATTAGTATTAGTAGTATCTGTATGATTGGATGATAATTGTTGTGATAATTTATCTAATTCATTAGTTAACCGATAACATTCAGCTCGTAATGTAGATGATTGTAATTGAAATGATGATTCAGTATTAAATAATTTATCACGTAATAATTTATTCTCTTGTTTTAATTCTTCAAATAATGAATTATGATCAGAAAATGTAGTTTGAGCATTAGTTAATGCTGATTGTGTATAAATTAATTCTTCTTCTAATTGTTTAATACGTTTCTCTGCACGTAGTTTTGCATCATTTGCTGTAATTTGTGCTTCACGTAAATCAAGTAATTGAGATTGAAAACGTTGAAATTCTTCCGCAGATATAGAAGTAACCATAAGTGGAACTAATATGTAAATATAAATGTATGTATGCATATACTTCTCTCTTTCTATGTATATATATGTATATAGTTTATTAGCAAGAAAACTATAAAAAAAAGGATAAAAATCAAGTATAATTAACACAGATTAGATGAGAAATAAAAGTACACTTTCGTTATTATATATGGATATGGATATATTAGATAGTGATAATAGCACTAATGAACTTACCTTTTAGCAAGTGTGAAGAGTTTATGAATTGTTAAATTATGGTAACTTCATATCAATAACTGAGTTTAATTAGAGAATTATTAGAAATCAAGAAATAGTGGTTAGATATTTTGTTCTCAGTATCAAACTACTTAGTGACAGTGTAACATTCACGAACTTATCATGAATAGAACTCAAGACTAAGGAATAAGTAACACCGTTGATAGGAAGAATGAGTTTTTTCTTCTAGCAAAATAAAATGCTTATATATTAAGTACTGAATACAAGGAAAAATGTGACTAAAAGTTATTTAACAAATAGATGACTGAACGATAAGACAACCGTAGGTAATTCACTCTACAATCGGATTAATGCGTTTCAGGTTTGATTGTTGCCCCATGACACCAGTCTCTGATTATCAATACAACGAAACCTATTCCTAACAATATTCCAAAAATCAAAAAATAATTGTACAGTCTATTTGTTTGTTCAACACAGGTAGATATAAATACGAAGTCAACCTCCCACAATCAATATAGATCCTGAGACAAATGTGTATTGTCCAAGTTGCCCTGCCACATTAAGATAATACAATAAAATTAACAAGACAGTAGCTGCTACCTGGATGTAGTGATCAGGCTTACATATCGTGGTGACTCAATTTAACTGTTGGTTGGAACATTTGTGTCTTTAGGTCCTACAATGCCAAGCAGTTTGGTTGGAGAGTGGTAAGACTAAAAGCAACAAACTCATGATCCGAGGTCGAAATTGTCATTCCCAACAGCATTAAGGTATTACCTCCAGATAGCCAGCATCTTCAGAAATAGTGCATTTTTGCAACAGAAAGAGGGACAGAAAAGATTGGTCCTAAAAATAATCTACCTCACCTTTCCCCACAGATTTCCGTTACCAGAGGTAAAATTTGAAAAGTACGACGCTAACAAAGCAAAAACTACTAGAAAAAGCTGTGCGCGACTAGCCTCAAGTAGCCGCCTCTTGAGCACTAAGGTTGAGTATTTAAGTCGTCAAGACCACCCCTCGCCCACTTTTCTTCTCAGATATATTAAGAAGTATGAGTCTACGGTGTAGACAATCGGGAACCGACAACCACTCTTGTACCCTAAACAGCAATCGATATTAACTTAATCACAAATATAAGACTAACGTATCCAGTATCGTTGAATTACCTGTTAACAATAAGTTAACATATGAAAGCCATGCTGATGAAACTACAGAGTTGTTAATCGATATGAGCAAATAACACAAAAAAAACATCACAATTTTGTATGATAAAGTGGTAAACTGCTAAGACAACAGTGCTGAAACCAGCCCCCCTTTCCATCGTCAATGAGAACACACCTCTCAAAATAATCTTATCGACGAAAGACTTACGCACACATATGACTATTGAACTGTCAATCAATATCTTACATGAATGGTAACAAATCATTGTGTACACACATTATTTTTTTCATGTAATCCACTTTAAATGGACAAGAATGTTGAGGTTATATTTTAAACACTAAAAGACAACAACACACACTAATCGATAGATCTTGAGAGAGAGAGAAATATGAAGTGTATGTTGATCCTTTTTCTGAATGAATTTTAAGAAAAGTTAGGTATGTTTACACACTATATATTTCAATATTGATCATAGCGTTTTAAGACAGATTTGATTACAAACTGATAGCAGTAAGAAAACGATAGAAACTATTTATAACAATTAACGTCTTCAATCATTCTATTGAACGAATCAATCAAAACATAAATGAATTATACATTGAAACGAGTGAATGATATGAGTAGTTAGAGATTATTAAGAACACTGTTCAATTTACACTTGAATAGTGATGTGAACACTGGATTGACTTATTAATAGCTTGTAATTAGTTTTATTTGATAGTAACCAAATAAGTATAACCGAAAACCCGTAATATAAAAAAGCGCAATACGAAAATTTTAATTTTTTTTCTCTAACTCTATAGATTTATTCTATATATAACTCGAAAAGAAGAGTCTACTTTCAAAACAATTAGTCCCTTTGATAAATCTCGATAATGAAATGGAAGGACAAAGGTTATTAGGATTATGTGATATATTTGCGTAATACATTTCGAACAATCTGATCACACATACTTATTAAGACACTTTATATGAAAAATAAAAGGTCAACTAGATAAATTAAAAGGTAAGCGGAAACAAAGATAATAATAAAGTACACAAAAACAATGTGAAAGCTACTCTGAATAACAAATCAGTATTACCAGGGTAGGTTGATAACTGGTGTTGGGGATGGTTGAAAAAAAGTTAAGGGCGACTACACAGAAACGTGGCATCAGTACTTGAAATCACTCATTTCTGGTCTGAGCCATGTTGGTAGATGCACACTAATTGGTTGGGGACCGCGTGACTATCGAAACCAATGGTTGGAGACTCTTAGTGACATGGCTCAGAATCGACCACAATAGCGTAGGTGTATACGCTCTCCATCTTTCCTTAAACGATGAGATTAAAATCGTTTCATATCTTTCTTTTACATATTACCACCACTACGTCTATGAATCCGGTGTTCATCTTGTTGTGTTAATGAGGTATGACAACTTGGACCGATGCATATATGTGCCTGGTCCTACGTTATAGCTGACTGACTGACTAGGGTAGGTCAAGAATAAGAGTTTCCGTACAGCCAAGGCTTCAATAAGCCTTATTATATGTCCTTAAAGGCTTTTGTACAAAATTATAAAAGCTGACTTGATATTAACCTAATGACCGGTCTCAACTAAATGTTTTGCAGTGGAGGAAGTTGTTTGTCTATTCTGTGATTTTATTTGACCACTGAAATTGTTATAATCTCTTTTTACGGTATGACCCAGCTATTCCTATTGCTTAGTATCCTTGGACACCAAATCACTCGACAAGACCCCAAATCAGAGCACGGTTGAACAGGAAAGAGATTATATTCCAAATAACAAGGTTAGATGGAAGTAAGAAGCACAATAGGGAAAAACGTCAGCATATTTATAGTTTTTAGATGAGAAGATTCTAGAGTATTCTCAAACTATCGACTAGTGCTGATTGGATAAGAATTAGCCAATCAGCGTGCACCAAAGCAATCGTGCATTGAGCATGCTTTAAATCCAGTCTATGTCCCGCTAACAGAAATTTATTTGTCTTTGCAGCCACTTAGGTATGTGTTCAACCACTCTTACTTGAAGACCAAGATTGCTCCTCTTTATGTACGTGTTTCGGCTCATACATGTAAATTGATAGATACAGTGGGATGTAACACAATCGCTTACGTGTTGTTTGGGTTTTCAGTGAAGCGTAGACCTTGTCTTTTCAATAATGACAAGTTGGGCTGCATAAAATGTCCGATTGATGACTAATTTAAGTCTCCATTTCAACATGAGAGTATTTGAATCACCTCCAAATGGTAACGTAATGTAGACTTGCTTTATGGGTACCAGAAGCGTCATAGGTCTCATCGTATTGCAACCTTTCCAACGCTTTATAAACTTCAAGTAATAACCATTATTTATTAATGTTTCAGTTAAGAGCTTCATGTTTCCTTCAATAGTATGACTGGTACAAATATGATTGATCCTATTGAATAAGCCCTTTATTAATCCACGTTTTTAATGAATTAGACAATCACTATGGAAAGTAAGATATTACCCTGTCCATGCCCGCTTTGTATATACTTTTACCAATAATAACGTTAAAAATCACAGTTAATTAGGCATACACAGGGAGTTATTAAGCTCTGTGTTAAGTATGCCCAGTCATTAGATTACTGACGCGCGGCACTAACTGGCACAGGAATAGGTTGGTAAGAATCTAGGGAACGAAAAAACCGAGGTGTGGGTGGCTTTAGACTATGCAGATATTAACTGTTGGACGGAGTTGTATTGGCAAGTACTGGCCACATGGCTGATGTAGTATAACAACTCCTACTAACATACTGTTGTGCCAAGTCCTATGTTGATTATGACAGACCAGCTGACAAAAAGTAGGTCAACAGAGAATATTAGTAGACCACACGTTTTCCGGGCTATATAAGCGACTTAAACACGTGAAGACAGTTCACTACCTTCAGATTAAAATTTATCAACGCTTGTAGATTTTGACAGATCTAGCTTCACAGACAGGACATTTACGCTACTTAAAACTAGGATCCAGCATAAACCATCGATACTGAGTTTGAAGTGTGAAAGCATAAGGATGTATGACATAGATAAAGACTGTATAATTTACGAATAATGAACAAGTAAATAGATACTAAGAACATCGGTTCATTTAACTCAAGTGGCTGCATACTTAGAGGCTGATTTGGATTTATTATGAAAAACGAGTGATGATTTAGGTGTTTCAAATTAACTCAGTGTTTTGCATTATTTTTACAACAGAAACTTAAAAATACTCGGTATGAATTGAAACATTCTTGTGTAGTACCACATTCTTTCATTAATTTATGATAGTCTTGTGCATAAGATAACGTTGTCTTGGTAGTTTAGAAGAGATAGTTTGGTTAGTTCAAAATGGGATGCTTTTAAGTCACGTAATTAGTAAACAAATAAAAAACTATGTCAAAGTGGACAAGTTTAACAATCGCCATATTTTTAATAGAATAAAATAACACAAAATCAATCAATGTTTTTAGTTGAAACATAATTAAACGAAATATTAGGGCGTGGATAAATGTAAATGTAATTGACTATACATGTGTACAGCTGACTGGTCAAATATTTGACTTACATAAAGATGTTCGAACTAGAAATTTAATTGATTCGTATATAGAAATGCATAATACGAGTATCAAATGAAGCCAAAGAAATTGGATA